TGTTTCCTGTCAGATGCCCCTGATTTTAACATCATTACCTCCCTATTCCAGACAGTTCTACTGAGACCCCACAGTGCCTTCCTTTCTCAAGGTACCAGTATTGCACTGTCAGCTCTCGGCACCTGGGTGTGGGCTTAGCGTCACAACTGGGACCTCCCCATTGTTTTTAGGCGGAAAATGCCAACTGGTTAGGTGCTCGATAGATGTAACCAATAAAAATCCCAGCTCTCATACGGGTACAACTCACACCAGCTCTCTAGCTGTCAGGAAGGGACCCCAGAAAGTGTCCGCAGGCCTGACTGAGGTGCTGTCTGTAGGGGTGGGCATGTGACTGCTGATGACACCAAAAGAAATGCACATGTCCTGACGGATTAGGGAGAAACTGAGCTAAGCCCTAAAAACCTGGGGCTGCAAACCCTCTGAAACGATCAGACTAGAACCCTTTGGGACGCCAGCTTTGCCTCTGGGGTGATGGGATCCTGCAGTCAAGTGGGGCAGGCAGCTGTGCGCATGTGCTTTTCTCTGCTCAGGGGAGATTATTCCTGGAGACTAAGGCAAGGTGCGCAACGTTACAAAAAAAGCAGCCAAGTGCAGAGTGTTGGACAAAGGGTGGCGAGACTCAGTCAGTCTTTCCCATCTTTGCAATCAGCTCGTCACAGATCTTGGTCAACTCTTCAATTTCTTGGTTCTGAAAGACAAACGATCACATGGAGATGAAGAGCTGAAGTTCCCTGATGGCCACGGGTAACCAGTGAGTGATCAATTCCAGCCCCTTTCCCCACCGGTAATACAAATAAATCATCATCATCCTCATCATCATAAAAGGAAAGGCATGGCCCCTGGGAGGGGGGAAGGGAAGCAGAGCCAATCTGCTTCCATTGCTGACCCTCTGCAGGGACTGGGGCTCTATTGCATGGCGAGCGGGGGCCAATGAGATTGCTCTGCAGTTGGCACTGTAGTTCAGGGCATTCACTTCTGCAAACAGGATTATGGCTACTAATCCCTTTTGTAACACCATCCATTGCATTTCAAAGCAGCTATCCTTGTAGTATGCAGGCACTCTGGCATGTGCCAGCTGAGTGAATGGCAGAGAAGCATGTAGAAAAAGAGACTCACTATCTGCGCTGATCTCCAGGAGATCTCCCTAGAACGATGCCCAGGGATCTGCATTCCAAGCTAGTCCTGCAGGATCTGCTGTCTAGGCTGATCCTGGGGGATCCTAATCACAAACTATCGCTCTCCAGCTCCGTATAACTGCCCACCAGCCCAGGTCCATGTCTAGGGGCACAGTCCTGATACAACTAAAGGCGAGGATCAGCTGGGACACACATTCCATGGTGTGCGGGGGTTTAACAGCCGCATGGAGACACCCTGGTATCATTTATCATGGATTTCATGTCCCCAAGTGGACGGTGCAGCTTGAAATGCAGCTGTTCCCAATAGCCACACCAATATTTCAGAGTGATGGTAAGTGGATAACGGGCAGAGATTTAAAGAACAGAATTTATATTCCTCCCCTCCTCACTCTGCCTGGCTTCAGGCTAGCTTTTCTGAGACCCTCCCTCTCATGTCGGCTGTGATCTGAGGAATGATCCCAAGACAAGTAGGAGACACTTTAATGGCAACTGTTTCCACTGAAATCAATAGCTAAACAAACACCACTTCAGGATCCAGATGGGGGCGGTGGCCGAAGGGCCTTTACCTTCTGTTGGAGGGCTCTCTCCAGTGATTCCACCTTCATCTGCTCTTTGCGCAGCCCAGCATGGAGAGCTGCACTCTCAGCTTTTGCTTTTGTGCGCACCTGAGCAATTTCTTCATTGGCTCTACGTGGGGGTTCAGAGAGAGAGAGAGACAGAGTGAGAGAGACTATTTATCACCTGGGCCACAGCCCAACAGAGTAACATTACACAGTGCCACAGCGTACAGTTATCTAAACGCCTAACAGAGCAAAGGATAAAGTCACCTGTTAAAGCAGCCAGTAACAGCTGCACTTGCTGTACTGGCTCCAGTTCTCCTCCATGTTTATGAGCAATAGATTCTGAGGCTGTGTCTACATGGGGAAGTTGCAATGGTGTAACTTAAATTGGCTTTTAAACTGGTTTATTTAAGATGGGGCAAACCCGCGTGGACACACTGCTTTCAGTTTCAGAGCAGCTTTTCTTGGGGTAGCTTAAGTCAAGTGCAACATGTTTAAGATGAACAAAAATAAGCTCCTTATACCAAAATCAGACTGTCGACACAGGGGTTTGACTGGTTTAACTACATCCGTTTAAATTCACATCTTCATGAGCTAATTCAGTTCAAACTAAATGGAAGGATAAACAAAAATAGATCTGTGACTAGGGTTTTTGATTCAAAAGGGCTAACTTAAAAAATTAAGGAAATTAGTTAGGGAAGTGGATTGGACTGAAGAACTTGTGGATCTAAAGGCAGAAGAGGGCTGGGACTACTTCCAGTCAAA